GACCTTTTCGCACTCGTTCAGAGTATAGTCGGCACGCTTCCAACTACCAAGTCACACGGACACGGGCTCGTGCTTGTGTTGCCATCGGTTGCGCCAGGCCGCCGACCGGTGGCGCTGATCGCGTGCTGCAAGCGGCCCGGAATTCGCATCACTGGCAGCAGTACATGAGCAGTAGCACAGGTATATACAGTAGCGCAACTCTATGTCGGCACCTTTGATGTCAGCGTGGATAAAAATGAACTGCACATGCGCGAGCGAGGTATGTAACCAATCAAGGCACTGATATTCCATCTCACTTCTTCTCTCTGTTGTAACCTTTTCTCTTTTTCTACTTTATTGCAAGGTCTGTTCTTTTTCCACTGTAAGTTCTGAACTGGTGTACACTGATGCAATAAGTTCAGAAGCTTAGAAAAATAACAGATCTACACAATATACATTACATTTGAAACAGAAAATAAAATAGAAATGAAATATGATATACATTTATTTCTCAGGAAACATAAGGAGATTCGTAAGGAGATTCGACTTGTAACTTAACCTTTTTTTATTTGCAATGATAGTCAGAGTTACAAAATATAAACGCAATAAGAGAACAAATAATAATTTTCTCTGCTGAACGCAGCCAATGATTGGTTGGCAATTGTTGGTGAAATTCTGAAAAAATTATGAAATGTAAACATTAAAAATTAAAAAACTTACATAAAACTTATATAAAAAATTAATAATGTTAGTAATAGCATACAATATGCAAATTAAACAAACAATAGAATAAGATGAAAATATTATTTACAAATTAATAAAAAAAAGTGCATAAAATATAAAAGAATGTTAGATGTAATGTGAATAAACGTACAAACAGTATGTTCAATTAATACATCGCTCTTAAATAATTTTTTATTGTAGTTTCATGAAATGTATAAAACGTATATACAATTTTATAAAATATACGAAACGTGCAAATAGCGACTAATGAGACATAAAAAGATGATCAATCATGGATCATATACCAAACAATAACGCGCATACATATATGTCAATAATACAACAGTCAATTTCAAGCATCCATTTTAGAACAGAAATATAAAAATTAACAAAAATTAATAAGTACACTAAATATACAATAATAAATATATGAAGTTTATGTTAAATTTTATTTATTTCTTCTGTCCAACTCAATCATTAGTCCATACTTTAGCTACTCGATCCACCTCGGCACTAACTAAAGAAAGAGTGATGACAGACAGAAACGAAGACAGAAAGAAACTTAACATTTCAAGTCAAAAACTAATATTTAATACTTAATATATATATATATATAATGAAATTATACATACAATAAAAGTAAATCATGATATCAAAATCCTATCTTTAATGAAACAGAAAAATAAGTATATATTTTAGGAAATCTATTATATTTAATATATATATTTAAGCACCTGTTTATTTTATCGTGTTCTGAAATACAAATATTGTCTTCTATAGGTATTTCATCATTTATCTTCTCTTCATCATTTATTTTTACTAATGTTGTCGTAATGGATTCGTTACTGTAAATTATATATGTAATGTAGTATTAATTTATAGATTATCAAATATTGTTTAGTACATAAAATTTAGAGTAGAAAAGAATATACATTTTGTAAGATGTTTCTCTATAAGAACTTACTTTCTTTCAAAAAACTTTGTAGGTATTGCATCTGGATGAAGATGAGCTCTAGTCTTACTTATATTGTACCACTTTTCTTCAAAATGTAAGTGGCACACTCGATAATTACAATGGGCATATTCTGCACCCATTGCTTCCAAATCCAATCTGTCACACGCACGTATCCATTGCAAGCATCTGTAAATATTATAATTTGTTATTGTAATTATAAATAAAAATAACAAATAAATATATAATATATATACATATATATATAAAAATTTAGAAACATGAAATAATGTAAATATATATGTGCATATGTATCAAATATATTATAAATTCATGTGCTTTAGAAAATAAACAAAATGAAATTGTACCTGTCATGTTCCTTTGGAAACCGAAACAAGTGTCGTTTTTCCACATTATTTTTATTGCATTCCTTGACAACACACCATCCGTTTGATTTCTGGGCCAACATCTTTTCCATCTTTTATAACGTTCTCTCAAAATAATATCTGCAACACAAAGCTAAGATCAAAGTGCTTCAAGAAAATCGAAAATCTGTACAATTTTTGCACAGATAAACTATTCTCCGTATAGAAATTCGGCCTTTATCTGGTTTTCTGTTTCCTAGATACGTCGAATCTAAGCACTTTATTGAACACTGAACTTTTTTAGTTATAAGTATTCACTGAATACTTATAACTAAACACGTCACTTAATCACTTTATCACACGTATCACTTTATTATTTCTCATAATATATACTCCTGTCACTTTTCGTTAAATGGTCATTTAAATCCCTTATATGGACATTTCAACGGTGCAGACAGATGGCGACAATAAAGAGAAGAAGCGAGATGGAATATCAGTGCCCTGATTGGTTACATACCTCGCTCGCGCATGTGCAGTTCATTTTTATCCACGGTGAAATCGTGAGAGTTGCGCTACTGTATATACTGTGGCAGTAGGCTGGTCGGACGCTTGTATTCGCCTATCTTTAAACGTTAATATCTCGTTAAATATTGCGTCAACTGCAAAATGGTACAAAACTGTTTTGTTCCCCTTAATCCAATCTACGTCCCCATTGTGTTTCGATCCGTTTTTTTGAGACACCCTGTATGCATGTACATGCATACATCTAACCTTGATACAAGCTTTCGAATCACATTTTCTACTTATCTCTCGTATCCATCACCCACAATGAATTATTTTCTTGTAACGGTGTTCCATTATCATTGGTTATTAACATATGCACATCTTTGATTAATTTTATAGCCATTTTAGGGAAATGAAAAGTCGTTACTTTAGAGACCGCTCGAACGGGACGGACGTGTGCGTCTCGCTTCGTGTGTTGCATCATCTCAATATTCAAATTTCGTTTGTCGCACTTACTCTTTCAACCCACCTCGGAAGCAGGGTTCATAGAGTTGACTCCGAGGTAGATTTACTCATACTTTTGGAACGAATAGGCTCCGCCCATATGGTCAGTTACCTCGCGTTTTGGAACGGCGTAGAGTTAAACTCTGTTACTCGGAGTGAATTTTGGAACGCACCCCTGGATGTTCAACCAGATATGGTCAAGGGCTTCTCATTCGTGGTTTTCCGAAGAATGATGGCTTAAAAACCAAATGGAAAGAAAATTTAGGAGATATAAATATAACTCAATCGTCTGCTGTATGTGAGGTTAGTTTAGATTTGAATGGGATTTTCATTTTCATTATTTATATTTAAATGTCTTTTATATGTATATATAAAAATGGTAATTATTTAGAATACGGTCGTCACCTCCGATTTTGATTAGACTCATTCGTTATAAACACAAATTCTCTGCTTTCCGTATTCAGAACGCGCTTACAACGATGTTAGCGCGCTAACTTACTATACTTTACGTCACGTATATTATAGAATTTCAGAGATAAAAATTTAATTGATAAAAGCGCGTTCTGAATACGGGCCTAAAAATACAAATTTTCTGCTTTAAAAGCACAAATTATTTTCTATATAATTTGTGTTTTTAAAAGCAAAGAATTCGTTTTTAAAGCAGAGAATTTGTGTTAATAAAACAGAATTTGTGTAATTCTCTATGCCATCGATGTGACAGATTTTCTAACCTGAATAATCGTTAACTTTAACATTTAATATCTCGGTTCACGGGACCGTTCTAACGTTTTTTCTTACAGATTCTTTCGTTTTATGCAAAAACACGTCGAATAAGCCTAATTTTATCGGAGGTAACGACCGTATTCTAAATAATTATTCTAGAAATACTACTGTTACAAGAATCGTACTCCGTATAAAGAATAACATATGTAAACACAAATTGCCATTTTTTCTTTAGACAATCCCTTTAAATAAGCTCGGTTGCGCTCAGTGATGCAGATCGGGCCGCGTTTCTGGCGCATGTGCGTCGAACGCAGCGTCAGTATCGTACTCGTTACCAGTAAACGGGAGTTCATTAGTCGCCTACGTAAAATTTGTTAAAAATTCTTAAAAAATATAATATATTTTATATATTAAAAATATATGTGAATTTATTTGTAAGTAATATATGTAAAATATATAAAATATATTATAATTTTTAAGAATTTTTAACAAATTTTACGTAGGCGACTAATGAATTTCCGTTTACTGATAACGAGTACGATACTGACATTCGACGCGAATGCGCCAGAAACGCGGCCCGACCTGCATCACTGGTTGCGCTTCTTTGATAAATCTAGGACTCTAGTTAAAGGCCATCACACGTATAAAAATTTTAGTGGGAATCGTAAGGTCGCAAACAAATCGACCAATCACAGTCAAAATTGAGATCTCGAGTGTTACGTCTCAGGAAGATCCGACCGCTTCCCGGTTGATCTAATCTGAGGCTATGGGTGGGATACGGAATTCGCGATTCCGGGTATCGAATCGAGCTACGATTGATTTTGTCCAACGTACTAAATTGGTTAAATACGAGCGCTTGATATGGTGATTATTGTCGATTCTGAGTCGTTCCACGGTTACTCCCCAGTTCCTCTCAAATAAT